ATGGTCATTCTCCATAGGCACAATGGAAGAGCCAAATTTCAAGCTGTTCTTGAAACATTCTTAACAAAATAGCTGTTCAAGACATACATTTTGGGGGACATAATATAAGATCACACGATTGGGAGATCTTACCCAGTGGAGATGCCTCTCTGCTCTCCTGTAGCAGAACAGCCATGGAAACATGTATTTGGGGGCACAACAGAGACCCGACATTTGGAGGAACCCTGAGAGCAAGGACCAAGGAAAAGACCTCTCACCTGGTGGAGCAGCTCTTGTGTCCTCCTCTTCCTCCAGCTTGATCCGCCTGGAAAGGAAGCCACAGCTGGTATCCAATGGGGCCTCCTGGGCCTGAAGGACCTCTCCTTCCTTCTGCTCTTCCTGCAGTGCCTTCTCCTCTTCTGCCTGACTCAAGAGGAAGCCTTCAGCCAAGGCCACAGCCTGGGAACTGGTCTCTGCCCCACATTCCCTCACCCAGTGCTCCATCTCAGGAGGGAGGATGGTCAGGAACTTCTCCAGGATCACCAGGTCCAGCATCTCTGCCTTGGAGTGTTGCTTGGGCTTCAGCCACCGTCCGCAGAGAGAGTGGAGGCGGCTGCAGACCTCTCGGGGCCCCAAGGCCTCCTCGTAGCGGAAGCACCAGAAGCGTTGGCACTGAAGGTCTGCTCTGAAGGACTTCTCCTCCAAGACATCTTGACCCATTCTACCTGGGAACCCAACACTTCTCCTGCCCCACATTTCATAGGGCTCTCCTCCTCCTTCAGGGTTGTTCTGGTCTGGCTGCTCCATCTTCACTCTGGGCTCCATCAGGACTGAAGAACCTCTTCCCTTCGCCATCTGAACATGAAGGAAAGGCTACACAAGACAAAGAGAGGGGAAGGCCAGGTTAATGATCCACTACCCTCAAGACAAAAAGGGTCTTTACCCCCCATTTTTGTGTTGCTGGCTTCCCTGTAAGAAAAGCAGAGCCCTGGCAGCTTAGAGCAAACTACATGAAGAAACACTCTGGGAATCCCTTCCCACTACTCTTCCCTTCCCCTTCTTCCCATCT